ATAAATCCTATAGTTAGGGTCGGCTTGTTCTGCTGCTATAGACTTAGACTACTAGAGGACACACTGACCTCGTTTCCTTAAATGAATTGTTAAAAGTGAATAGTTTTCATTTGATACTATTTCTATCTTAACGTGATTCTTGACCTGCCATTGTGTATCTATTACTACCACACAACAAAACAATACGACCTGAACAGTAACACTGATTCTTCCGTCCTTATGAGCTCAGCCGTGCACAGTTCAGTCCATTTATCATCCAGTGCGATTTACTGAGGAAATCCATTTTTATTTTTCTATCTTTCTTCTCATCCACGTGTTGTCCTGAATGCTCACCGCTGTCAGAGTTACTTTACTATTAAACCTTTCACAGTCTGCATTTTACAGAAGGCAGTGAAGCGAACGACTCAGCAGCCCGACGCTCAAACACATTTAGGTCCCCTGGCCTTCAAATTTCCATTTATTTACCTGACACGACTTCCTGTGGAGGAAACTGGAGCACAAATCCCACAAGGACTGCAGCTTGGACGCTTCTCATTTTAATCTGAACTCCACATTCAAGTGGAAAGTAGAGTGAAGGAAGCCTAGCAGTAAAATCTGAACGTATTGTTTCTGGGTTGTCTCTGAACTCCTGACGTGAGCCAGCAGAGAGGAAACCTGTTTATTTAGTAACATTTCCAAATAAAACCTCATGATGTTCTCATGGGAACACATCTCCACCGCTGCTCGTTTAGGAGGGGAAGGAAAACACAAAACACAAGATGTTGTTCTGATTTCCTGAAGTAAACAGGCAGATGATCCAGCTCTGACGGCTCCCTGACAGGAAGTCCTACAACAGAGAGAGGAGCTCCGACTTCATCTAAAACTTCTTTTCTGATTCATTTTCAAAGTTTCTGGATCAGACTGAGTGGCTGACTGCGAGGAGGTATTCTGGAACACACACGAGTGTGTGTGTGTGTGTGTGTGTGTGGGGGGGGGGGGGGTGTCAGTAAATATATCTAATATCTGCAGGAAGAACTGAGCATCTGAGCGTTTCCAGTTTTGCACCAGTGATTTATTGGGTTGGACTGCAGCTGTCTGAACGCTGAACCACCACGTTGACGAACATCTCGTAGAAACCCAGAGAGGTCCTCAGCTCTCATGAGTATTTAATAATACATTTAATAATAAATTTATTAATGCACTTATTAATGCATTTATTAATGCACTTATTAATACATTTATTAATGCATTTATTAATGCATTTATTAATACATTTATTAATACATTTATTAATACATTTATTAATACATTTATTAATGCATGTATTAATACATTTATTAATACATTTATTAATGCATTTATTAATACATTTATTAATACATTTATTAATACATTTATTAATACATTTATTAATGCATGTATTAATACATGTATTAATACATTTATTAATACATTTATTAATACATTTATTAATACATTTATTAATGCATGTATTAATACATTTATTAATACATTTATTAATGCATTTATTAATGCATTTATTAATACATTTATTAATACATTTATTAATACATTTATTAATACAT